CATCACAACCGAAAATCCACTTTAATAAAAACTAATTGTTTTTTATTATCAAGTGTAATATTATTGTTATTGCTTATTTCGCCGCAGGACACGTAATACGTAAACGATTCTGAAACGCATTATACTTAATATAATTTGAAATAAATAATATGATATATTTACATCCGTATWTWATATTAGATAATTACTCTATGTTTATCGTTTTAAATGTTTGTTTTCCAAACCATAATTTTTCTACACACCGTTATAATATGAGTGATGACGATACGTACTATTTCGAAATAAATCGATTGCATATTTTTCAGCCAAGCCCCCTCCCACACCACAATTCTCGATATCGATTCTGTAACCTAACTCAACCTAACCTAAAGTACGTACAGTATACGTTTCGTGGTTCTCACGCCGATATAGATATTATTTATAATACATATATATATTATACGCTCAATGTAAGTACTAAAATAATGATAAGAATGTCATAGTTGCATTGTTGCAACGCTAAGATTTACTCTCGATTTTTATTTTTATTATTAATTTTTTTTTTTTGTCCAATATTTACGATTTGAATTAAAACTCCGAGTATACGACTGCAACTGGCGACTTTTTTCGGCAATAAAATTCAATGACGCTATAATTGTTTTTTTTTTTTCTCAAAACTGCGCAACCAAAGGGCACCCGAACTATTTTTTGCGTCTCCTTATCGTCTGTGATCGTATTAATTTCATAACATTTTATTCTCGTCACGATATTATATAGCTTTTGTAATACGATGATAGACATGATGCGTTACCTAYATACGTAATAATAACTTCGTCAAATCATCAGACTAAACATTTTTTTAATTTTGAAAAATTCGTCATATTCTGCAGCTAAATAAAACACAATATTTTATCGTGTGCAAACGTAGTATTGCCAGCGTAATGATTTCGTTACATAATATTAATAGTCAAATGTTCGTTGTGTACAAACATTAAAACATAATTTTATGTCGATTATAATTTTCGGTACATTCAGGCGTACCAACTTAATACAACCCGTGTATTAAATTGTTAATTTCCCGGAAATTCGAAACGAACACGACACGCGCGTCTTCTTCCGCAGCATCTGTTTTTATGTTATTATTATGACGGCGAGGGGATGTCCGCGCGACATTGTTTTCGGAATCGTATTGAAAATGACGGTAACTAGTCGAAAGTAAAAAAAAAAAAAAAACACTTTCTCGGACAAAGCGAAAAACGATAGTACCTAATATCGTATTATTCGTTTAAACCTCCAGCACTGTAATGTCRTCGTACGACTCTATAATAATACGTTCATATATATATTATATTCATCGTTGAGCAAACACGTCGTCACAGACTCACGATAATCGAAATTTACGATTTCGGGTCGAGTTTTCCGAACCATTGTGTTCGAGTCGTCGGATTTCGTCGGCAGTTGTGTGGATGCGTTTCATCATCTCAATCCGAATTTCGCTTTGCCTAAAAGTACAAAAAGCGATTGTCTCGGCAACGAGCGCGTCATCGTTTTCCCCCGTTTTTCATTGATAATAACAATAATAATAATAATAGTATATAATTACAATATATTATATATATATAGTAGGTACCCATTATATTATATTATGATCATCATCTGAAAACGCTTTCGTAGACGCTGCAGGTTTTTCACAATCGTTGTGGATTTCTCTCTAATTACCGCGACCTATTGTATTAATTTGTGAGCGTGTATGATGTTTGATCACCGTTTAATAATTTAATCAGCATATTGTGTTTTGTGGTTTTTTCGTTTCRAACCTACTCTTGGAGCGTTTATTATACGATGTTATTTTCAGTATGATCTACTCTATTATGATATTTTATCATTATTATTATTATTATTATTATTATATTATACAATATTATGCGAC